GGGTGATCTACTAATTGTTTCTAGATCTATTTACAAATAAGTAGTGTAGTCGATTGCAATAGCGAATACAACTTTGCATCAGATACGATCCCAAAAATATAATATTCGCTTGGAAAATGCCCGGCTTTCTTTAACATTCACATTTGCAACGTGACCAAAGGGCACTCACGACAGTCTGGCGTAATGGTTAGCCTGCCGAGATTATAGGCTGCACTAATGAAATGCGAGATCGAGTCCCGCTGGTGGTACAGAGCATAAGAGTTGAGGGAGGTCGAAGCTGCAGTCAACTGCAGCCTGGATGGGAATACCTTTTGGAAATGCAAAGTTATGTGATGTAAAATGGGAATGTGAGGTCTGTTCATTTGATTGTGGGAAAACTTCAGTTTCTTTAAACGAAATAGGGTAAATACAGTTAATATATACTATCAGTAGAACAGGAATGTTTGTTGCTATGGTAGTGGTGGTATTGGTGATTTCATGTGAGGTTCCGAGTTTGGCGTTTGGGCCGATATAGTTTATGATCGAGGTGGTGAGGATAGTGATGTTGTTGTTGATATGATGGGTTGGTGGTGATTGCGGCAACGGAAGTTGTAGCGATAGGTAGAATGGTGGTTGTGATGTTGTAGTTGTGTTGTTGTTGTGTCGACAATTGAGATGAGGGGCAGTGCATTGATGATGGTTCCACCATTTGATGCCTACATCTGATCGAAATTGACATGATCTAACTTTCCGTTTCGGAATGCGGTTTGCAAAAAAAAAGAAAGCAGGACAATTGTAAGACTGTCCCTCTGCTGGGGCAGGCGTTGACGACAATAACCGACAGCAAAATAAAGCTACAGTTGCCGTTGCCGGAGCGAGTCGGTTGCGCCAAGTTAGGCCAAACAAGTAAAGGGAATCAAGGCCCCTTTGCAAGCCGTGGCTTCATGTCGCTGTCTACAGATCGAGATTTTGAGCATCGCGGCTCGGTGACTGAACCACATGCAACTGGGCAGCACGAGCCTAACCCGAAAGAAGCATACATCAAGCCTCATTGTAGCGACGAATCGAGTCTCGTCAAATGAAGCCTGTTCTACACTTTGACACACTGACATCTTCGACCATGTCAGCTGCGCTACTACTACTCGTTCGTTTCAGATTTACTTTAAAATTGTATTTTTCTCAACTTAAACCATCGAATTCCGCCAC